GATAGGTGATTTGAACTACCCACACATTGATTGGGTCAATATGTGTTCAAGTCGGGAAAAAGAGATTGCGTTTCTAGACACTCTCAATGACTGTCCTATGGAATACATGGTCACAGAACCTACCAGGGGAGATGTGATCCTGTATTTGGTCCTAAGTAATGCCCAAGACCTGGTGAGAGATGTAAAAGTGATTGCACCATTTGGGAACAGTGACTATAATGTTAGTGAGTTTAATATTTGTATAAATAGGGGGTCCTGAAAGAGATTATGCAAGTGTTTACTGGCAACTACCCCTCCCACAAAAACTATTACCTTAACTTTGATTATTTCTGTGCATTATTTGTTGTTTGTTTCTGTTATGGCTCCATTTCAGAATTAACATTCTCTTACACAGGTAATGGCTATTGCTCCAGCACATTATATATGGCAGCGGGAACGTTCCCTGTATCACAGTGGTGCTACAAGAAGTCATAGCCATGATCAAGTGAATCTGCCTCGAGGACCTAATGCCACTCCTGTTAACTGTTTGCTTTGTGGGAAAAAAACAAGATACGTAAGGCTGGGATTATCATCCTCTTCCTCCAATGGCACCCTGGAAATAATGGAGCAGTGCATTCCGCAGGGATTCCATGGCTTTCTTTCAGCTGATCAAATACTTCAGCCACCTCCTCACCGTTTCTCCCGAGGTATGATCTAGTCTGTACTTAAATAATTTTTGCAACAGCCACCACATTTCTGCCCCAAATAAAAGCATGTTAAGCCATGCAGAAGTCCCAACTGATTTTGGTCACTATATCTAGTAGTAAACCACTTGAGTTCCAATGCATGAACGTATATGCCCATGCATTGCTAATATGGTGGAATCAATTACTCATGTCCTCCTGTTCTGCAGATTCTATCAGGAGGAACGAGACCATCTTATACTACCCCTTCTGTCTAGATTTAGCCCTCTGCAGTCTTATCTTGACTTCAGGCCAGAAGTCCTTCATAAATTCCTCTTAGAAGACGTTCACAGCTCAGTGACTTACGCTGTGGCAAAATTTTGTTGCTTAGCTACTAGGAAACGTAAACTTATTTTAGCTGAAAAAATTGTATGATTCTCTTATTAACATTATTTTATGTTACTAATTTTATTAACTTTCTCTTGTGTATGTTTTTATATTATTCCCATGTTATTACTGTTTTGAATAACTCCAATTCTATTAAATTTTCCAGGCAGATCTGATGAATTTAATATCTCCCTCCCTTTATTGGCTCCTACCGCAATAAATTAGATTGATTGATATCTCCCTCCCCCCTTTCATATTGTTCTAACAAAATCACCTCTAAGGTGGCCAAACTTTGCCCCTCGGCAAGATCAACAAGGAAGCAGCTGGTCAAGTCTTCTTATTAATTGTCTCTACTATTGAAATCAGCATGCCACGCTGCCTGGAAATTTTATTGTTTGTAAATGTGCTGATAATTATGAGTGTCAATCGTGACCAGGGCTTTTTTTGTAGAAAAAGCCCAGCAGAAACTCATTAGCATATTAGGCTACACCCCTGACAGCAAAGCATATTAGCATATTAGGCCACACCCCATGCCTTCCCTTGGCTTGCCTGGGCAAGCTGGCCCTTGGACAGGCCAGGGAAGGCATTAAATGCCTCCCCGATCCTTCCAGGGGCCCCCCTGGCCCACTTGCCTCGGAGTCACCGGGGGGGGGTTGCTTTCCAGACCTTCCCTCTGTAGCCATGCATGCAGAGGTTTTGGCTGTAGTGGGTGTGGCCAACTCTGAAGCCAGCCGGAACAGAGTCACTCTTTACCTACTTGAGGGACTCTCCAGGTATACAGAAAAATATGGCTTTCTAAAAATTCCTTCCCCACCACTCTCCTGTCACTTCTGTTAAGGAGCCCTCCACCAATGGCCAAGACAAGAACTGATTCTTAATGTGAATCTTTATATTCCCAAATGATGAGCACATGATAATGAAGCAGCATCTGGTATTCACAGTGAGCATATGGGTCCACGCAGCAAAAGAAACTAAAGGAGGATGTAACTGCTCGGTCATGGAGTTAGACCTAAGAAAGAGAGCCAGTTTGGTATAGTGGTTACGAGTGCGGACTCTAATCTGGGAGAACCGGGTTTGATTCCCCACTCCTCCGCACGCAGCTGCTGGTGTGACCTTGGGTTAGTTATAAGTTCTTTCAGGGCTGTTCTCTCGCCAGCAGTTCTCAAAAGAGCTCTCTCAGCCCCACCTGCCTCACAGGGTGTCTGTTGTGGGAAGAGGAAGGGAAGGAGATTGTACGCCACTCTGAGACTCCTTCAGGTAGTGAAGGGCGGGGTATAAATCCAAACTCATCTTCTCTCTTCTAAATGGAACAAAACTTTCTCACTTCCTGCTGTATAACCTCTGAAATGCATTCCTTGGGACTCGGGCAGGGACGACAACCCAGGAATAGCTGGAGGAGGGTAGCAAACATCACCCTCCTCTGCCAGTGGAAGTGCCCTTGTAATAGTGGAAAATACCAAAGAATACAACCCATAGAGAGAAACAGCAGGTGGTTCTTGAGCCACAGTAAAATTCCAGCAGGCAAGTCCCTTTATAACACTTTTTTTAAGCTGAACAATATAAGTGTACTCATCCCAAAGTTACTCTTCTTAAATGTAACCTGCCCTGTATATGATAAAGGTTGACATGTTATGCAAAACAAACTGAACTGTAATCCTCCATATACTTCCAGTGTGAATTTCTTTTCCTCATTTTTCATAGATTGCAACAAAGCACCCAACACAGGAAGACAAAATAATTACATAAGTCAAGATAAATCCATGGACTGGTTTACTGGAAATGAAGAATAAATGTACTTCCAGCTGTAACTTTACATATTCTCAAGAAATGCAATGAACCTTTTGAATCAAATGCTAAGATATAATTCAAAATATCTGTTGTCTAAGCTAAGTTTCTTATTCTTTAAGTTCTATCTTTGGCCACACACACACACACAGAGTACCAAAAGGTATCATCAGCTGTGGCTTCCAAAAATGTATGTAGTCCTTTCTTTATGCAATTCTGGTAAAATGCAGTCTTCAAATTAGCAGTCATCACCTGGAGCCTTTTTTGTATCTGGGGGGTTGAATTTCCGCAGCTTGACAAGAAATGCTGTTTTAGAAGAAATGCACCATCAGAATTAGTGATAAAATACTCGGGTAATTAACAAGTAATCTTTAATGGTTATGCTTTTATTTATTAATTGCAGTTCCTTGAAAAGCAAAGTAGTGCTTATGAAAAACACAAGAATAGTAGTGAATGTACAAAATATGTTTACCAAGCCATTCTCACCTGTGTGACTACTTTGGCACAGGTGTGGTTTCGCAACATATGGTGGTTCTGCTCTGTCAGAAACAAGAATTTCTGAAATAAAACAAAGAAAGAAAAATGTTGTCCAGCATCCTTCATTTCTCTTTGTGTCTTAAAATAACTCTTCTGCCTTGGGACACTCTCTTCCCATTTTGAAGTCTTCTGCTGTTCCGCTACTCCTGATGCCCCCATTCCCCTTCTTCAGGTGGAGGTTTGGACTCCCATACTTCCCTCAGGGAAAATAGCAGCAAACACCAGACCCTCAAACCACAGCATGTTGCATAGCTCGCATGTCTGACAGATGTTTCTTGGTCCTCAGAGGACCAGATGGTTCATGACATTTATATTCAAATCCAGGTCTCCCTGATATGGGACTGCAGCACCAGGGAGGGATTGTACTTCATGGCAGACCATTCACTTTGCATGCATAAGAACTCAGGTTTAATCTCTGGCTTCTCCAGTGAAGGTCACAGGCAGATCGATCTCTCCTCGAGGCCCTCGAAAGCCATTGCCAGTCAGAGCAAACAAGTGGTTCTCAAACTGTGGGTCACAACACACTCATAGGGAAGTTGCAAGGCCAGGAAGGAGAAGGAACAACATAAGCAACTAATAAGGTGCTGGGAGGCAAATCTGGTTTTACCTCTGCATAATGTGCGAACTGACCATGAACTATTTAGTAATGCTAACTATTTAGAAATATATATGAAATATAGAATATAACCTTGTTCAGTGTTAACTGATGTGAGATTCCTGTGTTTTATACTTTGGACTGGGACTGTAGCATGGACTTACCTTTGCAAGGGATCCTAAAAAGTACAGTATTTTTTTTTAATAATTCTTACTGTTTTTAAAACCAAAGTCCTAAGCAGCAAACCCTCATCCCATGGGAGGAGAACCTAAAAGTTAGTTATCATGTAACTTAACAACAGCGGCCAAAACTTTTGCCACACACAGAGTGGTTTGTTTATCTTTGTCTCTGAGTGGCCAGAATGATTTCACTTCTGGAGAAAGACAGTTCTGATTAAACAATGGGGAGATCAATTCCGCTCTTAGTTCTGAAAATTAAGGACACCTGAAGAAGATGTGGTCTACAGAGTCAATCTTGTTGCTGCCACAATTGCAGAGTCTATGTGAGTATGGCATTCTACTGAATCTTCCTAGCATCACTGCTGAGGGTAGGGCATTCGGGCACGCTAGCATAAAAGCCCTTCCATACTTTGAAATAATTAACTCAGATAATTTGGTATTTGAGAAGTACAGTAACTTTAGCAGCGTGACTTCAAAAAGTTTGAGAATCACTGAGGTAGTCAGTACTGAGCTAAATAGACCAACAATTAGACAAGCTAAAAGGCAGCTACATATTCCAGTTACTGTCACAAAACAAGATCTTTACCGTCATCTTCACTCTGTTCAGCAGACAGCTCATCATTTTCATAACGGCAAGTCAGATCTTCAACCATGTTTCCCTTGGATTTCATATGCTGGAAAGTATTGCCATTTTTTTGTGTCACTGGGTGTACTAACCATTTTCTATGCGTCACTTCAATAATGCTTTCACAAAAAAGAGCTGACCTGCTGGTGCGGATTGCTTCCAAAAGCTGAATAACCTGTGTGATACTTAGAGAGGAATTCAATTTATAAATATTACCAATGAATTTTTCTTCATGTCAGTGTTTAAAGTACAGTCATCCTGCAGTCTGAGCCTGCACATGTTTACTCAGCTGCAAGTGCCACTGCTCTTCAAGCATGATTAGGATTTCAGCTTCAGTATTTCATTTTTCAAAAGATTAAGGTTTATAATTTATCGTAATTACCCCCAAATTCAACCATGAACTCTCATTCAAGCAAAATTTCTCTTGACTATATAACAGAGGCTATGGCTCAGTGGTAAATCTCTTGCTTGGACTACAAAACTCTGTTCATCTGAAGAGCTTTGATCTATAAAATATTATAAATTAAGCACATTGTAAAACTATGGAGACAGCTGTCGAGAACACTAATTACAGAATTTAAAAAAACGACTGTCAGTAAATCCAGTTGTTTAGAAATTCACACTTTTTATTTTATTAAAACATTTATAGCCTACCTTTCAATCATAACATTCACAAAACAAGTTAAAACCAGATAACTTAAATACCTTCAGAAGAATAACACAAGGCAGACACCACTAATTAGTTAAACAGTAGAACCTAAAATAACTATTGTGCAGAAATGTTAATACAAGCTTCTGAGATGGAACTTGTAGCCAAATTTTGGCAATGCAAAGAAACTTGTGAATGTGAAAAAAACTTACTTTGCAAGGTATACAGCACAAACACCCCCTTGTTTAAGATTTGGGACAACTGCAATTGCAGCATTCTGAGGGATGAGCATATCCAAAGCTACCTACAGAGGAAACATACATATTTTTTTATTCCATTTGTGCATCTAGATCAGGGGTGTCGAACTCATTTGTTATGAGGGCTGGATCTGACATAAATGAGACCTTGTTGGGCTGAGCCATGTGTATCATAAAATGTAATGTCAGGTAGTGGAGGTATAAACTTTATAAAGGATACAAACACAATTAAAGACTTTTTTTCAATTTTAAATAAAACATGCTTGAAAAAGTAGGATAGAAATATCTAAACAGATGAAATTTAAAGAAGGAATCAAGGAGTTACTTTATAGTTATTTAGTTATAGATTCCTAAAACCTGTGGGACTAGAAAATATATATTTTATGATAGGACACACAAAAAAATTATGTCGGCACAAGGTCTGGCCTTAAATAAGGTTTTATAAGAGTAAGCAGTAAATAAACGAACACATGTACATATATCAGATTGCCTACCGTACAAAACAGACGCTTCTGCCACCCCTTGAAGGGTTCATACCTGAGGGAAAGGGTACTTAGATCCCCCCACCCCACATATCTCTGAACGAACTAACAGAAATATATAAGCCAGGGGTCACGAACCTCTTCCTTAATGAGAACTACTTCTGAGTTATGAAAAGTATTCTGAACTACTAACCCCACCATGTTACCAAGCTTTGTTCTGTTCTAGAAACAGAACATGGAACAGGAAGAGCACCAAAAGTGAGGTCACGTAAGCAGCACAGAGAAAAATTCTGTGAAATAAAAGCTTCTTTTTTTTAAAGCCTAGAGCAGATCTTTTTGGGATGCATGAGCTACTCTGCAGCAGCTGGTGAACCACTGGTAGCTCACATGGTACCTTTTAGAGATGCCCGACATAAGCCATGATCCTGTTATGCCCATGGCAGAGGTGAAGATTCTGCATGTGAGCTATGGACATGGAAATATGCATTTACAAGTCAAAGCATTAGTGTTGCTCCAGATGTTTGAAGTATTTGCTTTTGAGTTTTGAAAGGAGATCAGTATTTTTGTTAGAATGTGTCTCTATATTCTCAAGAGAGTGTGACCATTCCAGAAATGGCACTTTCCTTTTAAAAATATGAAGAAATTACCGCATCAAATATTTTCATTTTCAGACCTTCAGCTGCTGTTGAAACATCTTCATTAATGAATTGCACATTATCTGGCCACTCCACAGTGTGTTCTATTTTCCACGCAGCACGCCAGTTCTGGTAGTTTGTCTTGGCTATGCTGTGGTGATCTTTTCTGACTTCATAACTGATAACATGGCCTAGTGGCCCAACTAAAAACAAATGAAACAGAACTCAAATACTGATCTTTCTCACAAAAGATTTAACTTGCTATTACAAGCAGAACATAATTACTAACAGGCCTGTCAACTAATTAAAGATGTTTCAGTTCATTAGTTAATCAACTTTTAACTAACTGATCAATTAATTTTAAGTAAATGTGCACGGCAACAAATCTTTTTTTTAGATTGATCAAAAAATGTCAATGCACTATTTACAGTTCACCAAACTGCAAGCAGCACAAAATGTGTTTGCGTTTAGCTTAAGAACAGTCTCTTTAATCAAGACAAACCCCCACTTTCATTTTTAGGGGTATCTGTCAGAGGTGTTAAGAAGAAATTATGTGTGGCTGGTCACGTTACACCATGTGATTCTCTCCTACTATTGACTGTCAGTTCCTGGCTGAACTGATATATTCTTGTTTGGAAGCCTTGGGACAGGGACTATGTCATTACCATATTCGGCAAAGAAAATAAACCAAATGGGAAATATTAGAAAACTGCAATGACTGATAGATTCAGGTGGGTAGCCAATGTTGGTCTAAAGCAACAGAACAAAGTTTGAGTCCAGTGGCACCTTTAAGACCAATAAAGTTTAATTCTGAGTATAAGCTTTTGTGTGCATGCACACTATGTATCTGAAGAAGTGTGCATGGACGCAAAAGCTTATAACCAGAATTAAACTTTGTTGGTCTTAAAGGTGCCAGTGGACTCAAACTTTGTTCTGTAATGACTGTTGCTAGCTGTTTCACCTATAGAGGTTATCCGATGAGAACTGAACCAATGGGATGTGAGGAGTTCACCAGCCATACTTTAGGCTAGTCTCAGCCATGGAGTTCACCGGCTATATTTTAGGCTACTCTCTCAGCCTCACCTATATTATAGAATTATTAGGAGTACCCAATGGAATAAACCCATATATACCAACTGGTGGTCCATGGAGAAAAAAAGATGCTGCAACTGTGATCTTTTTCGACGGTGTGACTTTACACTAAAGCATTGTTGGTGCATTCATAAAGCTGACTTATATTAAGTCAGACCATCTGTCTATCAAGGTCAGTATTGTTGTCACTAATAGGCAGCAGTTCTCCAGGGTCTTGGACAGAAGCCTTCCACACCATGTACTACTGGATCCTTTTAACTGGAAGTGCCAAGGACTGGACCTGTGACCTTCTGCATGCAAATCAGATATTCAATCTCTGGGCCAGGGCCCTCGTATCCCTACAAGATGTTTAAAGCCCAATTGTCACATTCACCGAACCAAAACCAGCAAACATTTATATAATCTGGATTTAAATCCCACATTGTAGTATGAATAGGAATATAAAGATTTTCATATATAGGTTTTTCCTTCTTGATTGTTCATATTCATATTTCTCTGGTTTTTATAGATTTATTCTTTAAGTAATATTTTATTAGGATGTTAGAAAGGCCTGTTATATAGAAGGCTTTCCTCTTGTAGGTCTGATATTGTTAGCAGACAACATAATAGGTACAAAGTTCATGATTCTGTAGTTCTTAGGGCAAACCTTTCGATGTCTGGGTCAGATAAGATTTTACTCTGATATGAAGAATCCTTGCCCATTATCATTTAGGTTAGGTTAAGTAAACACTTAAGTTTGGTGAAGATATGTTTCTTTATATCTGGCCAATCAGAGGATTATTACTCAAATTACCACTGTCTTTTGTAACCAATTATGCTGTTTGAATATTGTTTTCTTGATGATGTCAGTCCATGTATAAAATATCATGTATTTCCTGAATATGTTCAGAATATGCTCAAGAAGAAGAAGAAGATGAAGAAGAAAAATAAGAAAGTTGTCAATTTTTGGTTAACTATTTGATCTAATTGTTTTCCTATTAATTGAGGCATGTTTCCTGATTATGCTGAGAAGAAAGCAGTCAGTTTTGATGGGTCCTTTGGCCTAACTGTTTTCCATATTCCATTACAATAAAATACAAGAACTTCCTTCTCATTTGACTTCATTTTTGACATAGAATCTAATATGTACAACAACGTTGTGTTGTGATTTACCTTAAAGCCTGGCATGGCTGTAAGTGTAACTTTGTGCACAATAACTACAGGATGAGAGGTACAGTTGGCAGATTAGGCATCAATAAAGTCTTCTCCTGCATCTACAATATTTACCTGCTCTTGATAGAAATAAACTCAAAGCACCAGAACCAGAGCCAGCTTCCAGCACTATGTCTCCTTGATTAATATCCATAAGCAGCAACATTGCATTCATATCCTAAACAGAACAGAGTATAAATATTAATAAAGCTGCCAACCAAACAGTTTTTAATTTGGTTATTTAACACATCTAGCTTCCACAAAGGTCAAACTGATCCTCAGTGCAACCAGACAGCAGCGAGTAGGGCAGCTGCTCATGCACGGTTCCCACGGATACATTATTAATTTCAAGAGGTGGAAATATATTTTTATGATGGGACACACACGAAAATTACATCCATCTATTGTCTATCACTGACTCCCACCTGGGCTGGAACTGCTTAAGAGAATGAAGCATCATGCTTTTTCAGACCAATATAGGCAAGACGGCACAGTATTTGGTGACTGAAAATCTCAGATCCCAGTTTTAACACAAAGCTTCTAGTCCAGCTGCAAACAAGAGTTGGGAAACACACTGAAGACTCAGCTGCACTGGACTTGAATTGTTCAAGCGGTAGGAACAGAATGCTCAAATGGTTCCTTGATTTTTTAAATTAAGGCTAACCCAACAACTCCATGTGTAACCCCATTCCTTACTTTAAAAAATACCAAGAATTCAAACCCTGACTTTTAGAAATTAGTTGCTCCTTTTAGGCTACAGATCATAACCACCTGCACCAGAGTACTTCCAATGAGTTTGTGAAGTACAGCTACAATCCAGTGAAGTACGGCTACAATCCAATGAAGTACAGCTACAATCCAGTGAAGTACGGCTACAATCCAATGAAGTACAGCTACAATCCAGTGAAGTACGGCTACAATCCAATGAAGTACAGCTACAATCCAGTGAAGTACGGCTACAATCCAATGAAGTACAGCTACAATCCAGTGAAGTACGGCTACAATCCAATGAAGTACAGCTACAATCCAGTGAAGTACGGCTACAATCCAATGAAGTACAGCTACAATCCAGTGAAGTACGGCTACAATCCAATGAAGTACAGCTACAATCCAGTGAAGTACGGCTACAATCCAATGAAGTACAGCTACAATCCAGTGAAGTACGGCTACAATCCAATGAAGTACAGCTACAATCCAGTGAAGTACGGCTACAATCCAATGAAGTACAGCTACAATCCAGTGAAGTACGGCTACAATCCAATGAAGTACAGCTACAATCCAGTGAAGTACGGCTACAATCCAATGAAGTACAGCTACAATCCAGTGAAGTACGGCTACAATCCAATGAAGTACAGCTACAATCCAGTGAAGTACGGCTACAATCCAATGAAGTACAGCTACAATCCAGTGAAGTACGGCTACAATCCAATGAAGTACAGCTACAATCCAGTGAAGTACGGCTACAATCCAATGAAGTACAGCTACAATCCAGTGAAGTACGGCTACAATCCAATGAAGTACAGCTACAATCCAGTGAAGTACGGCTACAATCCAATGAAGTACAGCTACAATCCAGTGAAGTACGGCTACAATCCAATGAAGTACAGCTACAATCCAGTGAAGTACGGCTACAATCCAATGAAGTACAGCTACAATCCAGTGAAGTACGGCTACAATCCAATGAAGTACAGCTACAATCCAGTGAAGTACGGCTACAATCCAATGAAGTACAGCTACAATCCAGTGAAGTACGGCTACAATCCAATGAAGTACAGCTACAATCCAGTGAAGTACGGCTACAATCCAATGAAGTACAGCTACAATCCAGTGAAGTACGGCTACAATCCAATGAAGTACAGCTACAATCCAGTGAAGTACGGCTACAATCCAATGAAGTACAGCTACAATCCAGTGAAGTACGGCTACAATCCAATGAAGTACAGCTACAATCCAGTGAAGTACGGCTACAATCCAATGAAGTACAGCTACAATCCAGTGAAGTACGGCTACAATCCAATGAAGTACAGCTACAATCCAGTGAAGTACGGCTACAATCCAATGAAGTACAGCTACAATCCAGTGAAGTACGGCTACAATCCAATGAAGTACAGCTACAATCCAGTGAAGTACGGCTACAATCCAATGAAGTACAGCTACAATCCAGTGAAGTACGGCTACAATCCAATGAAGTACAGCTACAATCCAGTGAAGTACGGCTACAATCCAATGAAGTACAGCTACAATCCAGTGAAGTACGGCTACAATCCAATGAAGTACAGCTACAATCCAGTGAAGTACGGCTACAATCCAATGAAGTACAGCTACAATCCAGTGAAGTACGGCTACAATCCAATGAAGTACAGCTACAATCCAGTGAAGTACGGCTACAATCCAATGAAGTACAGCTACAATCCAGTGAAGTACGGCTACAATCCAATGAAGTACAGCTACAATCCAGTGAAGTACGGCTACAATCCAATGAAGTACAGCTACAATCCAGTGAAGTACGGCTACAATCCAATGAAGTACAGCTACAATCCAGTGAAGTACGGCTACAATCCAATGAAGTACAGCTACAATCCAGTGAAGTACGGCTACAATCCAATGAAGTACAGCTACAATCCAGTGAAGTACGGCTACAATCCAATGAAGTACAGCTACAATCCAGTGAAGTACGGCTACAATCCAATGAAGTACAGCTACAATCCAGTGAAGTACGGCTACAATCCAATGAAGTACAGCTACAATCCAGTGAAGTACGGCTACAATCCAATGAAGTACAGCTACAATCCAGTGAAGTACGGCTACAATCCAATGAAGTACAGCTACAATCCAGTGAAGTACGGCTACAATCCAATGAAGTACAGCTACAATCCAGTGAAGTACGGCTACAATCCAATGAAGTACAGCTACAATCCAGTGAAGTACGGCTACAATCCAATGAAGTACAGCTACAATCCAGTGAAGTACGGCTACAATCCAATGAAGTACAGCTACAATCCAGTGAAGTACGGCTACAATCCAATGAAGTACAGCTACAATCCAGTGAAGTACGGCTACAATCCAATGAAGTACAGCTACAATCCAGTGAAGTACGGCTACAATCCAATGAAGTACAGCTACAATCCAGTGAAGTACGGCTACAATCCAATGAAGTACAGCTACAATCCAGTGAAGTACGGCTACAATCCAATGAAGTACAGCTACAATCCAGTGAAGTACGGCTACAATCCAATGAAGTACAGCTACAATCCAGTGAAGTACGGCTACAATCCAATGAAGTACAGCTACAATCCAGTGAAGTACGGCTACAATCCAATGAAGTACAGCTACAATCCAGTGAAGTACGGCTCAGTCATACAGCTTGCAAAGGCACAGGAGTCCCTCTGTAATTGTGCACCTTTTGTGCACCTTTTAAACAGAAAAAAACCATGTTTTCAAAGCACCTCGACAGTAGTAAACGTTACACCGAGTAAGTCTTCTTTAACGTTACTGCAACGCCATTAATTTATGCATGTCGTGAACAAAGAGAGGGGATCCTTTCTAGGACACATAACTCTCGGGAAGCGGAGGAACAGTAATCCTCGTCTTGCCTCCTGTGTGCTTTTTCTGTGTAGGATGTGTGGTTTTTAAACAATACTGTAAGGAAAGGGAGACTGCCTGTTTCATTAGGAGTTTTTTACATTAATCCTGTGTCTTTCCACTACAGTTGCCCAGCACATGGAAGCCTCTATGAACTGCGGTTGGGAGCCGGGATTTTCTAAATATCCTTTCATAACGTAGTGCTTGGGAAAAAAAGAACGTATCGTGTGACGTAAATAATCTGCGACGATCGGTACCCACATGGCCGCATGCCTGACTCTTCATCCGACAAGTAGCTGGGCAGTATAGTTTACGTCTAGCGCGTGATGTTTCCATGACCTTTTAGGGCCTGTGCTACAATAACTCTTCGTCGCCTTTTTGTGACAGTTCCCGCCTCCTTTTCATTTGTCTCGTGTTCGAGATTCTCTCCTGCCTCCCCCAGGGTTGGCAGCCCAGCTGAGGTGGTAGACTACAGACTCTAGCTATATGTTAACCGTTCCCTGTAACTAGAAAATTGGCACTACATGTGATTTCTTCTAAGTCCTAGTGCTCAGTCTAACAAACAATGGAGATCTGTGTTGTTAGACTAGAGCAGCTATTGAAGTGTAATTTGAGGACCAATCCAGAATCCTTTCTGTGTCTTTGCTGCACCTCAAGATAAACGGTGTGTATGTCTGTAAATGAAATTCTAGTATGGTGTAGCAGGATCTGGGACACTCAGGTTTGAACCCCCACTCTGCCATGGAAACTTGCCAGGTAACCTTGGGCCAGTCACACTCTGCCTACCTCAGAGAGTTGTTGTAAGGATAAAATGGAGCAAAGGAGAATGATGTAAGCCGTTTAGGCAGGGTATAATCTTAAACTACACGGCCATTTAATAGATTCAGAATCCCTGTACAACCACATTTAAAACTGCCTTCCTGCTTTTCGCACATGTACATCACCACCCGGAGAATGGCTCAGTATTGCTTTAAGCTGCAGGTGTGATGTCACCCTTAGCAGTAGGGTGCTCTAAACCTTTCTTTATTTTTTATAATGGGTGGGAATATGGATAGAAATCAGGGCCATGCAGCAGCCTAAGGAAGAAATAGATTTCTTGATTTCTCTCTTAGTATGTCCTTTCAGTCCTCTCCCATTTATCCCAACAGGATGACAGACTTTGCACATGGTTTTCTGTTGATGTATACATACAGTGGCTGGTTTTCTTGTTGCCCTAAAATGAGGCAATAACTGAAAATAACTGCAAATGTTGTAAAACAGGGAAGTACCCCTGAGATTAACCTTGATAAACTGGAACACTCAGCTGTAGATTCTAAAGTGGAAAATGTTACACATAAAAGGAAATATATATACATACAATTGGAAAAGGCTTCAACACTGTTTGGAAGAAGTATCACTGACTAAGGTGGCTGGTGACCCTTTTGAAATCAATGGAATGTACTTCTGAGTAGCACTGCTTAGAAGCACTTCCTGAGTCAGTTACATGTTAGTGGAGCAAGGAAGCAATTATGATTTTGAGCTATGTTAACAAGAACATAGGAGGGTAATAAAAGTTAGGCTGGGTATCAGGAATCAGTTTCATAATATTACTTCCCAGCATCAACAACATAGTTTCCTTCTGTGCAGGTTTTGCACTTTTCGCACTTCACGCTGCTCTCCTAGTTGAAAAATCATTTGGAAAGGGGGCAAAATAGCTTTTAATATTATCATGGAACCCATCCTGCCATTGTTAAGCAATGCAATTAAACCAGGAACCACGAAGACTTCCACTTGTCAGACATAAAAGTATTCCTGACATTCACTGGAAAATGCTGCCTGATCCATCTTGTTTAGGTAAAGGTTTCCCTTGCTCGAAAGCCAGTCGATTCCGACTCTAGGGTTGCGGTGCTCATGGAAGAGCCAGCGCTGACCGAAGACATTTCCATGGTGGCATGACTAAACACCAAGGCGCACGAAACGCTGTTACCTTCCCACCGAAGTGGTCCCTATTTATCTACTTGCAATTTCTTGCTTCCGAACTGCTAGGTTGGCAGGAGCTGGAACTCGAGACGGGAGCTCACTCCGTCATGCGGCACTCGGGTCTCGAACTGCTAAGCTACTGACCTTCCACAGCCTGCAGTTCAGCGTCTTAACCGCTTGAGCCACCGCAGCTCCTTGATTACGCAGACGCGTAATTCCAGTGCTTTCAATAGGGCTCCCAGATATATGTTCACAGGACTGTAACAGCCCCATCCCACGCAAGTGTGCCAGAGCCTAAATTCCTCTGTGAATTCGTGCAAGTGCAGGAATCGCGCTTTACAGTGCAGCTTCACTTCAAGTCAATGGGCTTGGAATGGTACATCTCCGCTAAAAACGGCGCTGCCACTCTACAAAACTCTTGCGGCGCCTTTTGCTTCAGCGTTCTCCTCCTAAACATGCGTAACAACCGCGCTCTCTTTCTACGAAATCGTCCGGCTCCGAGCCAGCCCTCTCGGGAGGAAGGAGGAGCCGTAAGCCAGACGCGGACGAAGGCCGTCATTCTGTCCGCCTGACCCAAATCGGGGAGGGCCCGCGGCTTCCGCGCTTGCGCGAAGGGCCGAACACGTGGCTGCCGTGCTGCGTCTCGCCTGCTGGGAGCGGAGAGGGCCGGGCCTGTAGCGAGCGCCATGGCGGCGGCAGGAGCAGGAGGAAGAGCATGCGGCGGGGAGCGAGAGACGGCGGCCTCGGGGACCCCCGCCAGCGGCACCTTTGTGGCAGGGACGCCCTGCGCCTTCTCTCCCAGCGAGCGGCGCCTCCTGGCCCTTTCCGGGCTGGACGGGCGGCTCCGCGTGTGGGAGACGCCGAGCAGCCGCTTGCAGCACGAGTACGTGCCTTCTGCCCACCTCAGCGCCGCCTGCACCTGCCTGGCCTGGGCCCCGCCAGGCGCGGGGGGAGGCCGGACGGCTCCTAGCAAGGTAACGGGGGGGGGGGGGGCGGTGTTACGGGTTGCTGCTGCTGCGCTCGTGTGAGTAATGCGGGGCCTAGGCCTCCTTCCAGTGCCATGTGTGAGCAGCTCCACGCGGGAGAGGAAGGTTGTCACGCCTGGGAGGGAGAAGGCTTTGGTTGTGGCTGAAGTAGCAACAGCTCCGCCACTTTGCCGAATTGGCACGTGTGGCTGAGCTGTGGAGCTAGAGAAGCCACCGAAGCACTATTTCAGGGGTGGGGGTGGGGTGCCGTGCGACTGTTTACCTTGTGTGCGCCCTCGATCTGGCTGGCTGATTTAGGCTCCCTTCACTCAAAATCCGATGATTACTGTTATTTATTTTATTTTTGCGTTTGCCAGGCTCTCTCTTGGGCCGTAGGAGCACATGTGTGCCACACTGGACCCGCCCCGTGCATATCGAATCGAGGCAGGAGAGGAGAAAAAACTTCTCGTTATTAGACTTTATTCCGTGTGGGTTTCAACTGCGTCACTGGGGCTTAACCCCTGAATTGGGTTGCAGTGCTAAGACTCGGCGGTAGGATGAGATATGTCTGAGCAAGAATAATCAGTTCCCGAGATTCTGTCCTATGGTAGTGCGTCCAAGAAACAGATCCTACATCGGAGAGGAGGAGGCTTCCTTCCCAATAGATGGGGTCGCTGAGATCATGGAGCGAGTTAGGGCACTGCAGTGAAAGGATCCTCGAATGCATACTACTTTTTTTTCTCTCTTTCCCAAAATTCGAGAACTGAAGGGCATCCAGTGAAGCTGATGTGCAGTAGATTCAGGGTCTCTGTGCCCTGGGGTCCTCCAGATTAACTAGTTGGCCACTATGTGAGGCAGGATGCTGGACTAGATGTACCACTAATCCGGCAGGGCTTTTCTTAATTTTTTTATCCCTGAGTGACATTGCATTTCTAAAGAGAGTTGCTGCTATATGAAACCATTGAGTTAACATGGATTTAGAATAGTGTAACTCTGTTTAGGATTGCATTTTGGGGGTTTTAGCATCCATTTTACAAAGGCTCTTATGGGCCTTCCAGTATCTCTACAAAATATAGGCCATCACCCCAGTGCAGTTAGTTCCTGAGTAGTTTCTGTTATTCTGAGTAGTTTCTGTTATTCTTTCCCTGTATAAAGTGAATGAGGTTGGAGAAAGGATTGGAATTCTCCATCATACTCTGACAAACATGCTAAAGCTTTAAGCCTAGTGAAGCATTAACCAGTATGTGTTGGAGCATGTGCTGACAGTGCCTTTCCTTACATTTTACTTATTCACTGTGTTGAGCTAATGTGGGAAGATGGGATTAACATCTTTTAATATAAAATATTTTATCCCATTTTTCTGCCCAAATTAGCTCACAAAGCACTACATTAAACTACAAATGACATTAAAACTCAGTAAAAGTGTTTCTTGGGGACATGCTTATCTGTTGAGATGGATCAAAGTACAGTGGAAGAGTTTGGCTATGTTCTCTCCCTATCCCCTTAGTTATCTAGGCTTATGAGTCAGATTTTTGAGTTGAAGAGTTTATCTTCCAACTGGAATTAAGTTTTGGCATCTCTAGTTTTATGTATAAAATGGTTAGCTTAATGGGAGAAGATTTTGATGTAGTGGGGTTGGGTGAGTATTGCTGATCTCCTCAGACTGCGATCCTGTAGTACTTGCCTGGGAGTAAATCTTGAAATTGGTTTTAAATAAAAATGTATAGAGTTTCTCTGTTAACGTTTGAAAGATATTTGAAAGACATTAATAGTCAGTTGTTAGAGGGGATGAAAAGTTCTGTAAAAGAGGATGGCCTTCTTAGCGGACAATCCATGGGAATCCAGGTCTTGTGAGCTGTTTGTACTGATTTGGAATCTGTTGAACAGAGGGAGGTATCTGCCTTATAACAGATAAGGTGCACTTAAGAATTTCCTTGTTGTCTTGGCTGAATAAGCACTGTATTGGGGGAAGCCTATGCAGAGCTGCTTCAGTTTAAAAGCGCACTGAGGTAATGGATTTAGATTTGAAATAACTATAAGATTGCAGTTTAACAAAGTTGCTGAAAGAAATTGCTAAGCCATATGTGACAAATGTATGCATTATTGTATTTTGCAATGAGAGAACCAGTACACAGTTTTTCCTAAAGTCACATTGAGTTAGAAGCAATCTCATTACTTTTGTTGCTGCTGTTGACATTGGTTTTAGTAATGTTTCTACATAATATTTGCAGAATTAGGTCAGTTTATAGAAAAGAAACTGCGTGAGCCGATTCACATTTCTCATATTTGAATGTGAGGATGTGCATGTGAAGTTTAGATATAGTGATCTAAAAATGCCATTTCCTTATCTTGGAAGAATTTCTTTGCCACATCATTTTTGTTGTGCATGTATACCTTTACACTATAAGAGAAGAATCCCACACAGTTTTGGGAAGTACCACTTTGTACTGATGCTGCAAATGTTGTAAATCAGTATGAGATAACCAGCAGCTTTCCTTTAAGTTCCCTTGAGATGGGCAGAATGTTTTAATTACATTGTATATTATTTGGTTGGTTCATATCCCATTAAAAGATTTAATCAGGAATGTGCTTTCGGGGGGGGGGCCGGAGCGTTTTCGTGGAATGGCAGACGCATTTTGTTGAAGCTCCCTGACCTCCCTCCCAAAAGTCAACAAAGACATTGATTTAAGTGAAAATTACTTCTCCCGAGTATGGGAAGAAGTACAAGAAGTAAATCTCTACAAAAGAAAACAACTCCAAAGTCAGTACAAACTTTTTTTTACAAAGACAACAACTCTTACTCCCGGGACTGAAACTCCGAATGTGGCAGTTAAAATGGCGACTCCCTCATCTTTGCTAAATCAGGAACTACCATCTGAAGATATCACAATCAGTAAAAAAGAACTCATGGATATTCATAAAGATCTACACCATTCTCTGAAGACAGTCATGACTGAACTCATACAACGCACCAGTAATACCCTCAATGAGCTTATGGAAGAGCTCCGTGAAACAACTAAAATGGCGGAAACTAATGCGGAGATATGTACAACTCTACAAGAAGAGGTAAGACAACTACAAACATTTGAAGATGATATAACAACTAGAATCCTTACTTTAGGAAATTGCTGGCGCCAGCATAATCTTAAACTTTGTGGCTTTGAAGAGGGCAGTGAAGAAAATACAGACCTTGCAGCTTTTATCTCTTCATGGCTAGCCTACGCACTTCAGTTAGAAGACGGGGCGGCTCCCGCCATTGCTAAAGCTTACAGGCTGGGTCCATTGGCCAGGCGAGCAGGGGACTCCCGCGGGACATTTTTAGTTAATTTTGTTTACCCTCATTCACGAGACAAGATCCTACGAGATGCCAGGCTAAAGGGCTCACTACAATATAAAGACAGGAAAATATTGGTACTATTGGACTTGTCTACTAAAACCTTAGAGAAAAGAAAAGCGCTAAAATTCTTTGCTTCAAAATTATATGAAGAGAAAATACAATTCCGATGGAGTCCATCGTCAGACATTTTAGTTTATAGAAATGGAGCACAACTTCAAGCACATGACAACACAACAGGGGAAACCCTTCTGAAGGCATGTGGGGTCAAAATCTCTACAGAGGAAGAAAAACTGCTCACCGACTGAGTCTTATAGATATCGATGTATGATGCTACCTCATTACTGTGTCTTTACAAAAAAGTTTATTTCAACATAGTTATAATAAGGAAGCAAGCCTTGAAGTTCGATGGCTTGGTGTTTACTCAAGCGTTTAAAACTATGTATGTAAAACTGTTTGCGGTTTATAAATTAAAATTTATTTTAAAAGGGAATCCATTAATGTTAATGGATTTATACTCATTTAAAAGATAAGCCATGAATTTTAATGGAGCTATATTCAGTTATGTTCATTATATTCATTTTAAATTAGTTGTTTAAAATACGATATTTAGTTCATTTATTATATGTTGGTTCTATATATAAAAAAGAAGATAAGCCATGAATATTAATGGTATTATAATTATTTAAAAAGTAAGCCATGAATCTAATGGCATTATAACCACTTAAGTTAATAATGTGTTAGAAATCATTTGTTTAAAATATGATATTAAGTTCATTTATTTTTTAATACTATACAGGTGAAGTGTTATTATAACTTTTCTACTGTTGTAAGGAGTAAAAAGAACTTCATTAGTTTAATGTTTCATTTAAGGAAGAAATACAAACTAGAAATATATCTTTTAATGAAAACAGTTGTATACTATATGCAAACCAAAAATATGAATGATGTGGCATAATCTAGTATTATATGCAGGATTGGCATTTATGGAAGTTATAGTACACTGCAACATTTAATAATTAATATGTAATGAATGTTAAAAAATAATGTTTTTTCTTTTATATATACACTTGTTAAGTTATTTTAGAGTATATGGAAATCATTCAAATGAAAGTATTGTTAAGGAGTTGTGTAGACTGAAACTGAGAATATTACTAAGTTATGCCTAATACTAACAAAAAAGAAATTGGAGGGGGGGGAACCTGGTTTTTAAAATACAGTTATTTCCCCCCATGTTGTTTGTAAAAGGGTTAATAGGTAAGGAGACTTATCTCCTTTTTCTTTTTGTATTAAAGAAGAAACTAACCCCAAACCCTTTATTGGGGTGCATTAAGTTAAAAGTTAAATAGGGATACGGAAAGTATAACAAAGTAGCCTCTCTGAAATAGATTGGCTATATTCGGGGCATAAGGGTGGGTAGGTGTATAGGATTGTATCCTGCACCAGTTTTGGGTAGAGTAGAATAAGTTAAAGTTCTTAGAGGACTAAAGAGGGGTTTTTTATTTTCTCCCTTTTATTTAGTTTTCGGACAAGAAAAGGTTAGTCCCATATATATATAAATATAAAATATATATATTAAATAAACACAATAAGAGGAAGGAACTAAGTGACACACCTTTACAAAATTACAACATGGAACTGTAGAGGTCTAAATAACCATATTAAAGTGTGTAGA